GATATAGATAAAAAATAACAAGAGATGAGACCAACTTACATTTAGCTTCATATTATGATGCAGTTTCAGAATATGTAGCTTTTTCTGAAGTTCATTGTGTATGTAATGTCCGTAACACAAATAAATGTCTACCTAATATCAAAAATGTTAGCTCTGCACAATCAATAACATTATTAATTATCTTTTATGTGACAGCTAAGCATAATATGTATTCCGGAGATATGATCAATTCTATGACAAGGTGCAAAAAATTGGAAAAGTTTTATATRTACTGTCAGTGTATTTAATTACAGTTATGTGGCGTAACATTTAATATAATACTAGTATATTGAGTGTTTATGCCATAATTGATAATAATCAAATGTCAGCTAAAGCTACAATGCTTGATTGCTCGAAGAGTTTTTCAATAACTTTAAGAAAATGAATGTGGAATGGCCCATCTCCTTGCAAATCAAATGGGCCCAAAAATACACAGGAAGTGTGGATCTCTGATTGGCCAGTCAAACCTCTCAGCCCCAGAACGATTTCATGGTTGAAGGAAAACATGTAATGTAATGTCCGTGACACAATACTTTCAGAAATTACTAGGTTAAAAATGTAAAGAACTGTAAAGTTCAATAATCTTACAAAACTTCTTCTCATAGTCCATCATAACAAAGTAGTCATTGACTTGAGAACCGATTGAATTCAGAGGAATTGGAACTTGAAATCATAAACTTTGAACAGTGGTTGTTTTAGCTGTAATGTCCGTAACACAATTTGAAGTAATGTTTAAAGGCCGACAATGAGGACTTGACGGGGTTTCAAAGTCCGCGCAATTAGTTCCAGTCCGAGGCGCTAGCCGAGGACTGGAACTAATTGCAAGGACTTTGAAATCCCGTCAAGTCCGAATTGGAGGCCTTTGAACGACTTCAAAAACTCATTAATTATTCGGGAGGGAAAAAAAGCGAAGGAAATACATATAACAGAAATATATTGATTTATTGCATCTCCACTAAGGTTTTCAGTTTTCATAATTTTGAATGCATGAAGCACCGTTTGTTGTTCTTCAATTCCCRGACGGCTTTCTGAAACAAAAGCTATTCAAATTGTCTTTGTCTGCTATTCATGGCAYTCCTAATGAGTCTAATCCATAAGATTTATAAGTATGTTATCTTCCGAGGAATCGCATCAGAAACTCGGTGGCGTAATGGTATAAGACGGCGCATATAGACTGGACGGTAGCGGATCGAGTCGTGAGGGAGTCATGTATCAAAGATCTTTTTTCACTAAATTAATGTTAAACTGATTATTTCTAATAATTTGATTATCATTAGCTAGTAGTAGTTGGAAACATGGTAGAAGTAACTGGAAATAAGGTAGAAGTAACTGGAAATAATGTAGAAGTAACTGGAAAAAGGTTGAAGTAACTGGAAATAAGGTAGAATACAAGGTACGAGTACTTTCTCTGGTTTCAAGTTACTTCACGTGGTACAAATTACAAACAGGGATTGGCTGAATACCTCATGAATAATTAATGAGTTTTTGAAAGTAATATATTAGCTATCTGGTAGAGTCTTGTCATTTTGTTCTTCTATGAATTGAAAGAGACATGCCCTAGGTACAATCTAGCAAATAGAGCAAAACATTATAATTGTTTGTCTTGAAAGAGCACAAAGAACAAATTSTAAGATGGCCTCTGGATGTAATGTCAGAAATGGTGGAATGACCCAAGAGATAAATTTTATTATTTTTATTTATCATACATGTAATTAATTATAATGAAATACTTTCCTAACCCTACTTCAATCTTTCGAAAGTAAGAAAAGGTATTTTACCTGTAGACATGATTTTCTTTCACATATAATTAACTTATATGATAAATAGAATATTACATGATCGCTTGGAGATACAAAATTTATCTTTTTGCTACGCTCACTCTTGACAGATCTTTGCAACACTCTAAGATAAAATCCGTACCTCCACATGGCCATGCATATATCCTCTATGTTAGTAATAGTGATTTGATTTTTATCCTGTTTTGTTATTTTGCTGTTTTTAATTCTAATTATGAATCTGTGGACAAACTGTTAATTAAGATTGAGCTAAGCATACACTTTCGTTTAGAAAATGCAACCACTGGCAGCACGTATGATGAATTTCTTCAAACAGACTGGCCCTCATTTGTATGAAATACGATTTCTTTTGGCAGGATTTGGAATAGTGTATTATGGTGTATATAAAATTCAAAAAGCAGGTAGGTAATGATATAGCTTTTAACTTGAAGATTGCATAAGCAATCTAAGTGCTATAGGAGGTGGACAAATTATGCTAATCAGAAAAAATGGCTATAGCTGCATGTGATTTGAAAAAATGTGGAAATTATTCCTATCGATTCTTTGTAAGAAACTTAATGCACTAGTCAATTGAAACCCCGGGCTAGTGGGGCACTGAAAGTGGATGTGATGCGTTTTTATCGTGCTTTTAACAGCAAGATTGCCCCAGGGSCCGGGATTTTGTTGAATTGTTTTCGAAGCGGGACAAAGAGCGGGGATTTTAATACGCATTTTATTTGTTTATTTTTCCTTGCATGAAAAATTTTTAAAAGAAACTTATTACACATGTTTTTCTCCGTCCAGTTAACCTCATGTAGTACCCTAACCCTGTGTATCACAGAAAATTTGATTGAAAGTTGTTTGTTTTGTTATTTACTACTAGACCAAAATAGCGGGGCAACAGCAGTGGGGATTTTAACAATGAATGTGCCSCGACTACCGGGGAAAATGTCTTATTTTAACACCACTCAAACATTAAATTCCCCGGTATTCCCCAGGGGTCAGTGGGCGGGGGTTTCAATGGAATGGTGCATAGTTCGTACTATTTTACTGTGTTTTGATCAGTTGATTTTATTATGTCTACAGGGGAAAAGAAAGCAATAACTGGTAAGACAACAATGTCAGTAGTGTTATAAAAATCTATTTCATTGATATTATAATAAATCATTTTCCTTTGTTCTGACAAGGAAGATACTCACGTATGTTTTTGTTTTCTAGATAAACCAAGCCATTGATGTTCTATATCACAGTACTTCTTGTTGTGCAATTTCATGGATTATTGTTTGTGAAATATTACTTATTACCAAATAAATTTTGAAAKAACTTAATGAAGTAACTTTTGATGTTATTTTTGGATTACAAGTCATAGGCACGTTATTACAAACGTGTGTTTACCACGTAAAACATACATTGTCAACATAGTAAAGTGCATATGAAGTTACACAAGGTAACGYGAAAAAAGTTGTGAAAAACAGAAAAATCATGTATAACCAGTATATGATGTGAACGCTATTCCCTTTAGCATTAATTGTTATACATATGATAGGAAAATACCTTGGAAACAAATAATCGCTTGAATCATGTTTTGTAATCGTCTTTTGATTGGTTATTTTTTACGCACTTATGAGACAAAAAAGATGCGCGCATACAAGTGCTGCGCGATTTGCATATAAGCTCGCAGGTGTTTGTTATAGCAATCTTCTTTGCGTTCAATAAATAATTCATATATACTTTAATGGCGTTCACATCGGAATGGTTTTATAATCCTTGTTTTGTCGTTTAAGTAGTAAGAAAACAACTTTATATGTCTACTATACATTCAAAAATCCATAATGCCACCGTTCTACGAACTAACAGCTTGCTTTGTCACACAGCAAGGTTATATTTGTAGCGTTAGATCACCTCGGATCAACGATCACAGTGGATGATGTTTTACGCTGCTGTACTAGCACTGGGATTACATATCAAAAGTGAGTATTAGAACTATACATACTAACCTCTCCACTATTTGCACAAATATCGCCACGCAGTGACTGTGGAGTCTGGGAACGAACGTTATCGTAGCAAAAATAATATGCGAATCGACACGACTCGTTCTTCCTTAATAATAAGAATAAACTTATATTTATATCAATCATTTTCTCAATGTTTAAACTGATTATTYAGAAGAGAAAGTAGCTGGTACTTCAGCATGTTTTTTTATATTTATCTCCCTTGTATTGCGTGACACGATGTCAGCGGTTTACAACTCGCCTGCTGACTATCAGAGTGCAACAGTGGAATGKTCTGTATCACCGTATAATTAATACAGTTCAAAGTCTTTGGGACTCTCAAAGTTTGTGTACAAAGAAAAAAAGTTGATTCGGAACTATTTTACACCTTGGCCGAATATTTTGCGTGAACGGTCCAAGAAATAACTTTCCTTTTCATTTTCCTAAAATTGGGTACGAAACCCTTCAGTTCAAATTATTTCGAAAGGTTGATCAAGGAAATACGTGGAAATAAGTGGAGCTATAGAACACATGCAGCCGCGTAAAACACCATTTAAAAGGCCTCCACGAGATGACCTAAGACGCGGAATCATAAGAGTTATGATATATTATTTTTATTATTCCTAATTCTCACCCCAAAATGATTCATGTTCAATAACTTGAAACAAAACATTGAATAATTCCTTCAAATTTCGAAGAGCTCTTTGATCCATTTCTGATTCAGCTTCTACTTTACAGGCCTCGACAGATGATTTCTTGTTACAGCTATTTGTTATTCAGCAACGAAAAMATAGTCTGTGAGACCGACTTCACACTCGTGGACGCATTTTCTTGCGAGGGAGAGGGATCATTTTGCCTTTCGCCTTGTCGATAAAATTATTGTTTGTACCGTTATGACGACGTTCATCTCAGTTAAATGTTTATATGTYCTGGTGTTTACTCTAGATATTGACATTCTTTTCATAAATTTTATCATCCACTAACTATTGGATTCGATACAGTTTCATTCTCTGATCTATGAATGACCTCCATCCTGAAATGTTCAATTGAGCATGCGTAAGGAAACACTCGTTTTACGATAGTTATATTGATAACAAACTAAAAATGAGTCAATCGGGCACATTTTGTTGTCGAGAAATAGTTGTTGCTCTCGAGTTTAAATGTATGCCATTACCTGGGGCTGTTAGTTAGTGTTTATCTTTCCGTACACTGGTGAGATTACTAGTCTTACACTCATCAAGTGCATGTTATACTATTATACCTAAAGGCTTCGTTTATATATTTAAGATTTTACGATATCATGCACGTAGTTGAAAATTAAAAGATGTCAGGTGCCCAGGTGTGAGTCGACCACAGAAAAAAACTCTAGTACCACTTAATTTAAATTACCTTGAGAATAAAACATTCTTTTCGATGCCTAAGAGTCTTGTTCAGGCCGGAAACCTTCTAATAAATTCTTTGTCACTTGACTATTAGACTAGAAGGAATGCACTTTTATTTCTATACACTCGTTGATTGAAGTTAACCAAAAATTTGTTTCTTTTATAGATCGTCGTGGAAAGTCAGTAAAGAAGAAAAAAGTTGAATCAAAGCGAACTGATGGTGACTCTTCAACCAGTGGACCTGAAAAGGTATCTATTTGAATACAAAAACATATCCACTTTATGCAAAAAACTAACTATTATAACGTTAATTAACACATAAACAGAATGGTAAGGATGTAATCTATTCACAATTGTACCTTGCTGAGTCATCCACRTAAGATCGACATTGTGATCAAGCTTTTTTTTTTTGGCTTTTTTTTGGCTATATCGATTACAGGGACAGATGTCCTCATCGAAAAAAAAACTTTTGCACCGAGGGAAAAACTTTCATTCTAATTCTGGGAAAATTGTTTAAATAATGACAAATAAAAAGTTACAATTGCTGTAAATAAAACAGTCCGTAGAATTCCCTGTTGGGGACATCCAAAATAAAACAAGAAATACAGTATTGTTCGCTTAGAAGGAAATGATAGAAGAACACCATCGATCCTGCAGAAAACATGAGTGCATGTTTTGATATTTCAGGATTCACATCTGGACATCGGCGATTKCTGCAAAAACCAGGATAATGTTAGGTGCACTTGGTATGGAGCTTATAAAGCGCGCATGGAAATATTACAATGTCAAAATGATTGTTTGATGGAAATCAATTCAGCACTTCATAATGAAAACAAAACACTGAGAAGAATTGCATCTTCACTGTCCAAGAGTGCAAGTAGGTAACGAGATTGGATCATGTCTATAGTTCCTTGTATACGTCTTTTTCGCAGTTCATCTGCTTATGATACATCCGATCGAAAAGGAGGGGATCTATGAATAATCCTATCTGTGGGGGGGAGGGTATTGCGTAAAATGACCGCATTGTGTTATTTCCATCTATAGATAGAACTGTATTTCGGCGTAAAGCTGGATTTTAGTGCACAAAGGAAGTTTGTATTTATACCATTATATTCTTACTATGATAGTACTGGTCTATATCTCAGTTTTCTCGTTATATACTCAACGGCTATTATCTTAGAAGCTAKAGTGGACTTTTTCTTAATCCTGGATTTATGCCTGCTGTTTACTGGTGTAAACATGTTTCATTCAGTACATCTCGCATTCTAATTGGATATCTCATAAAACAGACTGCAGGGAGATTGATTCAAATCGAGGTTTTTGCACTAGATTTACATATTCCATTATTGTCTTTTTTCCGGCTAAGATAGTATTAATGAAAGTATTTTAAAGCTCTAGTCACAGTCTGATAACCGACGTCCATTCTCACGGTTCGTCGCTTATATTGGATATGCATAACATGGGCACTTGCAGCAAAGGAAAAGGTCAAAAAAATTAAATTACTTAAGAATGCTCCTTAGATCTAATTCATATCAATGATTTTCACAGGGATAGCAATGCTTGATCTTGTAAGGGATACCGAGACAGTTAGTTCTGAAGCCCGTGGTAGCAGGTTATCAGTCGGAAGTATTGATGTTCGACCACGGAGGTCATCGTCACAAGGCAGATTACCGAGTCTTGCCACATTGGTAAGTAGTTATAACCCGACCAGTAATTGGTCATAGGTTTCTTAACAAAACATGACTAAAGAGTTTCTTAATCTTCAGACCCGTAGAAAAGCAGCGAGTAGGAGAATGAGCGATACTTAGTTTATTACTAGTCAGCTAACCACACAGTTAACAGCAATGTAATAGCCGCCAACTTTGAATAATGACAAATTTAAAAAAATATGGTTTTTGTGTTTTGTTTCTAATTTAGAATATGAAAACAATTCACTTTGCGACAGCCGGTTTTTCCGTTTTACAGAAGGAAATGTACATTAGAATAATCTACAAGAAGGAAAATCGGAAAATGATTTATATTCACAATGTTCGAAATGGTTATCAAACGATTTAGGTGACTAAAAAAGACTTCAAAAGACAACAACCATCTGTCAATTATTGACAACCATAGCTATTCTTGGTTAGAAACCCTTGTCATGGGTGGCCAGTTGAATTAATTTACTTTTTTCAATTTGTGTATAGTGTGTGCCATCGTGAAATTGGATGCGTTTAAATTAAAACGATTTTTCGTATACGTTATGCTAATAGTACATGCCTACATAAGATGTCAAAATAGGTGATGTAATGCAAAGAATAGCAATGACTTTGTTTATGTATAGTATAGAACCCTGCCAGCCTCGTATACATCTCAATAACCGACAGGAAATTTCACAACCGCATACTTTACTACTTGCTTCAAACACAATCAACACTCAACCTTTCAGCATGTCATATCCTATATGATGGAATGATCGCCTCCTCTTAAAACTTGGTGACAGTGGAACAAGCGATCCAGTGTTCGCTTACTAAAAACTGTTGATCTACATGGATTGTGACTTAGTTAGAATTCTTTGTTATCTGTGAATAATTTATGATAATATTACCAGAAACAACACATCTCAACTATCTTTCACTATTACGGCAGGGAATCGAGGATAAACTAGCCGCTATACATATACATGACAAGATGACATCTTTAAAAGCTCTGTCTAAAGGTGTTTTTACTTTGACTTCTGTTCGCGCCGATGCCGCAAGGAGAAAAAATAATGGCCAGTTTCCGAATAATTCATTTGCAAATTCGAAAAGTGATCAGAATTTAATCTCAAACGCTGCTGAGCAAGGGAGCTTTTCTCGTCGCGTTTCTACACCAGAACTGCTGCGCCATRTTGCTGCCGTGGCTAATATTAAGGTAAACACTTACAATGTTGGCCCGTAATATGCGAAATCGAATCAYGAGTAAGAATGAAAGGGAGAAATAAACGTACTTTTGTTTTTAGAAATCCGCTAGCCAATCCAAGCAAAAAAAAAATAACAAAAAAAAAACGAATTGTATTCACACAAATCCTCGTTTTCCAACTAAACTAGGAACGAGGATTTCCATAACAAACTCGCTGCCAAATTGTAGAATTCAGATCCTGAGCAGCAGGTACAAAAGTCGACTAACTACTTGATTATGATTCATGTTCTGTCACTGCTTGAGACTGTTATTAATTCATTCGAGGATATTCCAATACAGCACGAATCAATGATTGCAAATGTACTTTTTGTCTCAGCACCATCTGTCTGACATGTTTTGCTTTAATTGTTTTAATCATATTGTAAGAATCTTTTGTGATCGATGGTAGATGAGACCAAACATTTTAAATTTATTTTATCCGCAATTTAATAATCATACGATTAGCCCCTTTAAGGCTCTTTTTGTCAGGATTGCAGTTTCCTTATTATTTAGTCGTTCATGCTTTTAACGAATCCTAGAATACTACAGTATGTATACCCGTTCCTCGAAAAAAATACTTATGTCAATAATTGTCAGCTTACTGACCGTTGAATGTCAAACGGTTGTAGGCGATGTGAATTGTTGAATTACCAGCTGCATGATATACTAGAACACCTACCATTCTCAACTTGTCTTTGTTTACTAATTCATATCACAATTATCCCAAAAAGATTTTATCTAATGAGCCTCATTCCTTAGTTGCTGTAATAATACAGATACGCATGTAAGCCTAAATCGATCGCGAAGTGAGTAAAGTAAAGCATTGTACAAGTGGTATATAGCTTTGACAGAGGACTTTTCTAGAGGTGGGGGCGGTTTTCCATGTACTTCGTTTTTATTTCAAGATTTCTTAGCAGTTCTGAAGACATTGTACTTAGGTTAAATTGAAATAGTTAGTTAGCTAGTAATTTGAGGAAATTAAGGTTCCATATAAAACTCATTTAATTGATAGGAGCATGACGGAATGATTTTCATCAATGCATTGATTTTATCATTGTGTCATTTGTTATCCTCACAGACCAGAATCAATCTTCGCTTTAATAAAGAACAGCATTTTGGAGGTCTACATCGAGCAGTGCTGAGTGGTAGAGAAGACGATGTGGAATTTTTACTTTCTGCTGGAAAAGGTATTCCTCATTTGATTTGCCATCCCACTTGGCTGAGCACCGGCGCAATATCCAGTTATTTACTACTTTAATACGAATTATGGTTACGCCTCGTTCAACTCATCAATGAAATTGCATTTTTTCGTTTAACGGACTACCTTGATTAATGATGTAGTCCTRTCAAATAATCAATACTCTTGTTCTCTGTTGTTAGATATTTGAATTAGTTTGGTTAACCACTAAGAATCTTTAATCGCGATTTGGGCTGGAAAAGCTCTAGGGCTTTAGGGAAATGGAAGAAAAAGGTGTCTAGCCCCGCGATAGAATYACAAACTATATTTTTTCTACTTTAATTTTGTTGCTTTTAGATATCAACGCGCATGACGAATATGGAAAGACCCCTTTACATTGTGCAGTTGGGGCTCAGAAGCTAGATATTGTGCTGTGCTTGTTACGTCACAAGCCTGACATTGATGCGCATGACGATCGTGAGGACACGCCCCTACATACAGCCATTAGGACTGGTAATATTGCCATAGTAACGGTAAAATGATCATTTCACACTTTGCTTTCATAATTACTTTTTTAATATTTTTGTAGTGGGATGATTTCGTATGACTGTGAGAATAAACATGGTACTTTTGTTCCGTGACCGCGTGACCATCCGTGTCGTGATGCTTGCCTTAAATTGCGTACGGAATCCACTCTGATTAGTTCATTCATGGTTTGCTTTGCGAATGAAGATTTGAGTTCACTCGTTGTCCTTCCTTTTTCCCTTCATACCATTAAGATGACTTCAATAACTGTATGTCACTGTTGTTTATAACCAGGCGATACTGATAGATGGACGAGCAGATCCTAATTCATGTGGGCACGCAGGATGTACCCCTTTACATGTAGCAGCTCAGCTTGACCATGTTAATAACAATGCCATTTGTAAATTGCTTGTAAGTATTTATCCTGATGGGATAGTTTGAGTCACACGATGATCACCCAGTTTTGGACATAATCAATTCATATTGTTAAAAACCTATTAGTTGCCTTTTCAGCTGGCTTGATTTCTTTCAGCTTGAAAACGAGGCAAAACTACTCTCACGTGACCACAAGTACATGACGCCTCTGGCGCTCGCAACCCTCCATGGGTTTTATGATGTTATGGTGTGCTTATTCTCTTATGGTAATTCTTATTTGATGAAAAATATTCAAATCACTTTAAGATATTAACACTTTTTTTTATCAGCCGATGCTCAAGGCATCGCCAAAGATGATTTACTGCTTGAAGTCGATGGGGAAAGTAGTACATTACTGCATCTTGCTGTTGAAAGCAGTTCTGCGCGGGTAAGTCAATGACCCTGTTCATGTGTTTTATATGGTCCTATGGAAATCACTAGAATGGTAAAGTTATTCTGTCATCGATTCTAAACATACATRGTCACTTAAGTGGTGGTCTTAATTTTCAGGTGGTTGAGCTTTGCTTGGACGAAGGTGCCGCTCCCCATTCTGTCAAGGTAAATGCGTACCTCTTATCAGACTGTRCCGCTGGTCTTATCGGTTTTTCCTTATAGCAAAGCATAGTAAAGGTCCTGTTCTTAGTTCTTAGTTCTTATTTTCCTTTGTAGGCATCAGATGGAAGTACTCCAGTACACTTGGCCTGTTCCTATGGCTATATGGATATACTAGATATCTTAATGAAGGCTGTCGCTTTTATTTTGGACCCTCCTCCTGACCAGGACGGAAGACTGCCCATTCACAAGTAATATCATTTTACTTTTCTATGTATTTTAACTGGTTTAACAAGATTTATTATTCCTCAGAGCTGCTCAGGCAAACCATCAACAAGTTTTGTCGTATTTGTTGAAGCAGGTATTATTTCTAACAATTGCCGTGCTAGAAGTGTTCTTTGGAACAATTAACTGTATTGTTCCTATGTTAACGTAGGACGAGGACCAACTTGACGCAGTTGATCTCGAGGGTTGTACTCCAATCATGCTCGCTGCTGAAAATGGTTGTTACGACTCTGTCCGAGCTCTTCTCGAGAACAAAGCGAATATCGATATCAGGGATAGAAAAAGTCGAACGGTGCTTCATTACGCTATCGGCGGTGCTGATATTTTGAAAGAAATTTTGAAGGTATGATAGTAATGACCGACGGTTACATTTATTATTTCGGTTCGTCACCTTATATCTTAACAGGACGTTAAATCCACTTCATTAATCCGTGCAAAAGATTACGAGGGAAACACCCCACTCCACTATGCAGCAAGAAGAGGATGTGTAAAGGTACCATTATGCTATACAACATGGCATGTTTCCAATAACATTATAATATCTAAATGATATTCTATTTTTGTCTCAGGACATTTCGCTCATGTTAATGAAGTATAAAGCATCGGTGGCTATCACTAACGTGAATGGTGAAATTCCTCTCCATCTCGCAGCAAGGTACATATCCACATTAGTCGATTCCACACTTGTCATGTCCTGGAAATGGTACTTTAATTATTTTCTCTAGGAATGGTTGGTTGTCTGTGGTAAAAAAACTCACCGAAGGAAGAAACAAAAGAACGATTAATTCAACTGATGCAAGTGAACGAACTCCATTACATYTGGCTGCACAAGAAGGACACGAGGAACTCATCGATTTCTTTCTTAAGAAGAATGCAAAAATCGAAAGGTGTGCAAAGAATTGCGCTATACTCMTAATATAGAATGAAAATAATTCAATATACGATATGGTTTTCTTGGAAATTTAATGGAAATACTAAAATCCGTCAGTTTTTATTGATAAGTTTGGCTGTTGCGTGTCATTCCAGGTCACGTGAGAACCAACTGATGCCACACTCACTCAATTATCATATATTTTTGAAATCGTCTCGTGACTAGCTTTAATTTAATATATCATAAGGTTTGTYTCTTTAAATATTAGACTCTGTTTTTATTGCGCAACATTACAAGTYACGTGGTAGGCTTAAGCTATCACGACCAACTTGTTATCATGCATTTTTGAAATCTACTGGTGATAAGCTTTCATATGATATATTTATAAGTTATTACTTTCCAGAGACAATAATGGACAGACACCTTTACACTATGCGGCTTACCAAGGATCTCAAAGATCAGTAGAACTCTTTTTAGAAGCCAAACCTGATACACTTAACATCACTGATGAAGAACGGGTAGGTCTGTGAGCTATTTAGAACTAGTTTATGTAGTTACAATTCATGGTAAGCTTCATTATACATACATCACCACATACATTGTTGCCATTACCACATAGTACCTATTCATGCATTATAGTCATAATAATTGACAATATAATATACCTCTTTGAAAGAATTGAAGTCACAAAATACTTYTAACAAATTTAAAGTTAACACCAAAGGGGATATCAGTTCTAGACATTTGAATCTTATTTCCCTAAATAAGTTATGTTGTATATAGAAAAAGTYATTTCAGTCAGTGCAGACAATCGTTTATCACTAGAAAGCAGTGCTACACTCATAATATATGCTTKCCCGTGCTCCTTTTTGGTCTTGTCTAACCCGACAAGGTTTTTTTAAAGTACTTCTATTGGCATAACATTGATATAAGGTATAATGTATAGACTGATTGATGGTATTGTGTATAGAACACTGCACTTCACATGGCTGCCATGGGTGGTCATCCCCATATCGTACAGCTTCTTCTCAGTAAAAGCGAACAACTTGTTTCAGTCAACGAACGAAATCAGAACGTTCTCGATATTGCAATAGAAGGAAAGCACGATGCTGTTGCTATGGTCATTGCAGAACACAAAAGGTAAGTGGTTTATGGTAAAGTTACCCTTCAGTTTCACTGTTTCATGTTTCCAGATTTTTTTATGTAACCAGTTTTGCTGTTTCCACCCCGCTATCATAATAGTTTCATTGTTTCCACTGTTTCAAGCCAGTTTAAATCCAGATCATCTGGATGATGTTGTTTCATGACCATTGAGTGTTTTTTTTTTTTTACGGCAACAATTTCGTAACAACGGTAGTTTTCCAACTATGATAGTTTTGTAACAATTTCGTAACAACGGTAGTTTTCCAACTATGATAGTTTTGTAACAATTTCGTAACAACGGTAGTTTTCCAACTATGATAGTTTTGTTTCAGATGGCGTGAAGTGCTACGTGGTACGTTACATGCAACTCATACGCAGATACAGCTACTAGTGCGTCATATGCCAGATGTTGCCAAGGTAATCACCGTCAAACTCAATAATATGCTGCCTTTCTGGTACTRAATTGGTCTTGATTATCATTTAGAAATTCTTGGACCGTTGCGTCGAAAAGGAGGGAGACCCCGAGGATGAAAACTACAAGGTATTTGCTTCAATGATGTCAGGTGTAGAAATATAACTTTTAATTGACTAGAGTTTCCAATTGCTTTCAGGTAACTTATGACCTGAGATTTATCCAGGGGATGCCAGAAGAAAAGAAGAATTCCAAGAGCATCAGGGATTCGTTAAGTGCTTTACATGTAAGATGATTGTCTATTCATCTTTTCTTTGATTTTCATGTTATAACGCAGTGTAACTAATGTTGTTTCAGACAATGGTTAAATACAAGACGCTGCCGTGTTTGACGCATCCTCTCTGTTCTGTTCTTATGGACATAAAATGGTAAAGCTGTCTACTCTTTGTGGCATAGAATCATCTTATAATTGTGTTGAATTTTTTTTATTTTTCTAGGAGAAAGTTTGGTCTGGTTTGTGCCTTTTTAAATCAAGGAGTGTTTTTGGTATATATCGTATTGATTCTTATTGTGATGGACTATCTGGTCAGAGATTATCGTACGACGATATCTGTGAGTGGACACAATGACACCAATAGTACTTTTGATAAGTTCAGTCAGGTATGCAAAACAGTCTTGCAACCATACAAGCAATAGTCTAATGTTAAAACGGTCAATCAATGTAAAGTGGACTTGCTTTGTAACTCGATTCACACAAGAGGCCAACTAAGTTCTTAGAAACWTTGAGATTATGATGTAACTCGTTCATTATACATAGTCTGCACTAAATGATCATTCCATTCGACTATTTAATTTTTAACCATGATTGATTGCTATAATTTCAGCCTTTGATTGTGACTGCTTTTAAGGACAACGCGCAGATGGCGTTGGTTACTGTTATCCTTATGATAGCATGTATTTATAACTTATCAAAGGAAGGATTTCAGATGTTTGATGAGGTAAGAACCGCGCGTATGCTTATATAGAACTGAATGTTTCGGTCGGTTTTGGAATCCCTGTGTGAACACTAATAACTTTGGGTTCCTTCTGCAACCGAGCATGCTCGAGGAAAAAAGGTTAAATTTAAAATCACACTTGAGTAAAAATATGAATCTAACACCATAAAAAAAGGTGAAAYAACTTCTCGAACGTTAGAGCACTCGTCTTCTTTACTTCAACCATAGTTAATTAACTATGCTTCAACGAATGRTTAACGTCCGAAAAGTTATTAAATTGTTTCACCTATATATTTTTTTAATTTGCGCCTTAACTTAAATTAGTATCCTTTTACACAACTGTTTCTTTACAAACACCGACGCAGCTCACCATAGTTTACCGCTAGTTCCCACTACATTTAAAATCGTTATAAATCGTACAAAATGAGAATTGTGCTATTGCTGATATGTAAATCCATGTTTATATCAAATTCTGAACCCTACGCAAGTCCGGGTCCTAATACGTCCGGCTAAGAAATCAATCCGATGTCACACTCATATTCAGTTTCACACAGGGTTGGAAGTACTTATTGAGTCTCAACAACTGGTTGGAAGTCACACTGTACGTCTTAACGTTTGTGACGCTTGTCAAGCCAGGTCTATCTGAAATGGCAGTTTGTGTATTTTTAGCGTGGATTGTGTTGCTTCACTATTTTAGCAAGTAAGTACCTGAATGCCTGACATGCCCAGTGATCGAGTACTGCGTTACAAATGTGTTTGTATGTTCAGGTTCAATTATGTAGGTTTGTATATAGTAATGATCCGCAAGACCATCAAAACAGTTCTCAAAGTAAGTAATAAAATTGAAACATGTATTTGTATCCCTCCTTTCAATTCTGATACGATGGATAATGTCTTGTAGGTTCTTATCATTCTTCTTATTCTCTTGGCTGCGTTCGCTTTCTCCTTTCACGTTATTACATGCAACCTCAAAAGCACTTCAGTAAGTATGAATGGCTTGTTCTTATCTTTTGATTCTGCTCATTATATCATTTGAATTGATGGCTGGTGTATGTGAGCCTAGGAAGAGAGCCTGGTCGATTATTATATAGTCTCCCTTGAATAATCGAATGATTTATTGCTTGATTGAAAAATCATTATTGTTATTATTATTGATTAATTTATTGACTKACAGATGGATTTTTCAACTGATTGATTACTACTATTTCTTTTTAGTCTAAAACAAGATTTAGCAACGTYTCGACTGCCTTGGCTGCGACTTTCTTCATGATGCTAGATAATCTGCAGTATGAGAAGATAGTACTCGAGTACAATCAGGGTGGAGCAAATGATRACGGCGAAGGGGTTGTTCTCTATGGCTTGTTCATCGGTTATTGCTTCATGATGCCAATAATTTTCCTTAATCTCTTGGTACGTACATCCCTCAGTCCGTCACCCTGACTAACATAGTGATATTTTTGATTGGCTGGACTGGTACTAACCATCCTATCTGCTTAGATCGGTTTGGCTGTGGGTGATATTGATAATATTCGTAAAACTGCTGCAATGGAAAGATACACAAGTCAGGTATTACCCATAATACTAACAACTCTAACTGGACGTAAAACAGACTGGCACACAATTGATTGATTTGTATTCCTAGGTTGAACATTTATCGCAGCTTGAACGAGCCCTTCCAACTTTCATTTTGAGCAAGGCACAAGTTCAGGAGTATGTGGAATACCCCAACAAACACAAGAAGCTTAAAGATAAAGTAAATGAAACCTGATTTACCGGGTAATTTAAAGTTTGTCAACATTAATTAATCACAGGTTTTTTTTGTCAATAGATTGTTGACTTTCTTGTCAAGTTACTTTCCCCTCGTCAAGAAGTTGAAAAGAAAACTGAAAATCAAACTGACATGGATGAAAAAATATCCCGTCATGAGGCTCAGTAAGTACCGCAGTCAGGCGGATTATTCTATGCTAAATCTTAATGAACTATCGTTTTTCAGACTGAAACAAATCTCGTGTGCTTTAAAAAGTCAGACAGCGTTGCTTGAGGAATTGAAGGACATGCTGGTTGAAAAGAAAAGGCAATCAGTGATCATGGCTACAGCTCCATTGAGAACAGGCGACAATCCTCCAGTGGAGCCAGAAAATGCCTCCGAATTCTATGTTTAGAAAATATTTTATTATTGCAATATATGGTTCCGTCAACACGCGGAATTTAATAAGCCAAGTTCTGTTTGAATTATGAACTTTGTTTTTAAATGAAAACATGAGAAACGTATTTATGAAGGGGTTTATCGAATGCTAAGAACTTTTTCTTTCATATTTCAATTTATTTATGAATTTGTATAATTACGTGTTATTTTTACGATAATAAAATATGAGAATTACAATATTCTACATGAAACAAGTAAAACGTGATTCATTTGGAGCGCCATGCCGGTGAAATTGAAACATGTCTCGTTTATAAATTTTAATGTTAGTTAAAGAGGCATCTAAAAATGTTGTGATACTTTTTTCATTAAAACAAAATAACAATCAAAACAAGAAGACACCAGAGCAAAACAAAACAAAACAAGAAAAAAAATGCGCGATGGGGAATGCTGAGTCAAGCTAATAGTACAAGGAAAGAATTCTGGATACGATACGAATGGGAAATGGAGAGTAGTTTTTTTTGCACCGCAAACATCAAAATTGAAAAGTGTCTCCGCAAGKCACTGTGGGTATATTCACTCGTCTGGTTGAGAGACAAACTTAACATTACAATCATCGGAGATAATACCACATGCACCGTAACTTTCGGTCATGCATTCAACATTTTCTTCCACGTATTTTATGTGTAATAGTTTGTAATTACCCACTGATAATCCATGCATACAGTCAGATAATAAACTTACATATAATTAGGAGCAATTAAAATATGCTCTAATTACTTTCGCTAATCCGCCTTCATTGTGWACATTAACACCATAATTGCACATAATTACGTATACATCACTTATCAAGCTAATGTTTACCTCTTCGACAAAGCAACCTATATATTGCAATGAATAGATATGAATAAATCAAGAGCCTTTTTATTGACATAAATATGTCAGCTGCCATTTCGAACCAAATGATTTCTTTCAAGAGAAAAACCCTTCTTAGAAAACTTGAGTCTAGTCATGAACGTAAAAATCCTCGGATTATCGTCTCAGGAGCAACAGAAAACAAGCAAGACAGGACAGACAGTAACATTGATTCTCACTCAACAGTTACGCTGCAAGAAAGACAACCATCACCAGCCAAACATTTCCTTCAGATTCCAGACCAATTGAGCGATGAAGAGCGCAGTGACTCTGATGACGACGAAACCGATATTCAAGATTTTATACTCAACGAACTTATGGTTTTAAAGTCAAGAGTACAGGAATCACAACATGATGTTCGTAATCTAAATTTAAGAACACAAACACTTAGAAACGACTTAGATAAACTGCGACTCTTAAGACAAAGCTGTTACCAAGACAACAATACATGAAAAATACTCAATGGCTGTTAGCCAGTGGTGGAAAAAGAACAAGAGTGAAACTAATAKTTGCGGAAATGAGAGAAAATGAAAACTGAAATAAAGTGGAGTAAAGAAAAACAGGAGTGAATCTTCAATTGGAGAAATAGATACAATTAAAACAGGACTAAAGGGACAATAAGCGGGAAAAAAGTTACAATAAAAACAGAGAAGAATGTCATACAAGCGGAGAGAAAGTACGGCTTGAGAAGCACTCTTTGTGGTCGTGTAGGCACGAAAGTGAAACAGCATTCTTGCATGGAATTAATTGTTGACCTCTGATGAAACTCTGTCATGTCATTTCACAGCCATAAGATTCTCCTTATTTATGTCATCTCAATGATTCGGTACTGGAGCCAAGTCCTGGCAGCCTTCCTATAGAGCGTTTTCTCATCTGCAACAGAGAACTTAGTTTTCTTTGGGGATTTTCTGTCTGTTTGCAAATATCTTGCAAAAGTCGGTCAAATATTTCTTCAACAAGTATGTTTTCCTTGGCAGAGCATTCCATCCACTGATATTTCCATTGTGTTTCTACCAAGTTTCGAATACTAATCTGCATGCCTTTGTGATCAATATAAGACGTCTGTGATCCTAGGTCACTCTTATTACACACTATGATGCACGGGCATTTCTCTTTCCTTTCTTCTAAGATCTCGCCACGGTATCGATTCAATCGTTTGAATGTGGCTGAATTGCTGTAAACTAACACAAACGCATCTGCTTTCAGAATATCAACTTTTCTCATAGCAGGGAATTCGTATGTTCCTGACGTGTCGATGAGCTGAAGCTCGCATGTTTTTTTCTGGTGAAAAACGTGTTTGATGTAAAAGTCTTCAATAGTTGGTTGATATTCGTCAGAGAATCCATAACCCAAGTATCGCTGAATTAACGAGGTTTTCCCCACACACGAGTCACCAAAGAACACAATAGTAAACTTACTCCTCTGATAATCTGCTGAATCGCTGTGGTCTGGCTGCCCTTCATGAGCTGGCCGTACAGCTGCCATTCACAAATCGTCTCGTGCAGTTCCAGTGATTTTTTGTATCAAGTAATACAAGAACTTGATTCTGGAACGTTCATATCATGAACTTCATAAAACCCGTAATCTGTTGTACGTCACGCCACGAGGGCACAGAAGCTAGTTCAGCCAATATAGTGACGGCTGTCAAACATTGTTAGTGCAACCATTGCAGTCAACATCCGGTGATCACGTGTTTTCTATTAGTCCCATTTCCATTCGTTAGTGACCTGTAAGAATATTAAAATGTAACTTTCCTAAAGTTAGTAATCACGTCGTCTGCTGTTTCAWCTTTTACACTGCCGATCCTCCAGCTATAAATCCGACGATACAATTTATTAGTAGAAAAACAGAATAGTTACTAGTTGTAAATTGTTTCAGTGGTTCAGTTTCCAAGAGCGAACAAGTGTTTGATTCCGAAWATGACGACAATTTTGATTCTGATCACAGCAAATCCATGAAAAAGGTTTTTGATCTCGGTTATTAAACAGTGATCCCTATCCGAAGATCTCTGATGCGTATTCACTGATATCTGATCCAAAAATATCGCTAATATCATCTCATTGGGGGTAATGCAAACTTGAAACTAAAAATCGTGCRCCCGTGCCCCCTATGAACCTTACCGATGATACTAGTGGAAAAATTACGTACTGAAAATGAAGTTAGATCACGATAACAATTTAGTCCCTTATTTGGGTGCAGATGTTTAAAAGCTSATATTCGACTCTTGATGTGTAGCTAATAGTCGTAATCGGAAYACAATCATAACTATATTCTTACACAGCTCCAAAAATAATTACGAAATCCAGCTCTCCAAGGCTTTAAATATTTATTATGATACTATACACCTTCGGTGCAGTTAAATAATATATATAAATATAAATACAGTATAATACATTGTATACAATAATATATTCTTGTGTAAAATTGTAAAGGAGATGTCTAACCACAGGTCCTTAGGTGTTGGTATTATACTTTATACCGTTAATATAATTAAATTCGCAGTGTATCCTCTTTTTTTATCGATTTTCTAAAACAAAACGTTTGGTTGACTATCTGATTCTGTTATTCGGTATTGAAGGTCCGTCCGAAAGTAATCACTGAACGAAAAACTGATCTTATTTGAGAGTCTTTTCTTGGCCTGTAGATTTGGTTCTTTTTAGTGACAATGCACTGCCAAAGTTTCTATTGAGCCACGACGTTTTTCTTTTAAAATTAGGCGATGCATTGATATTTTCTGTTTCTTCTTTTCTCCGCTGAATTTCATCCAGTAACATAAAGAAAGGTTCACTGGTCGACCARTCCATTTTAGCTGATGTACTTGTCCACATGTATCGCCACCTTTTCTGTGTCACATCTTGTATAGAATCGTTTTTATCGATAGCATGTGATGAAGTAKCATCAAGAKCGAGATCTGACTTATTGGCTACCACCACAACTGGAATAGTCAAACCTTTCTGTTCCAATATTTCATCTCGGTACTGTGAAATCTGTTCAAAYGATCGCTTTTTATCAACAGAATATACAAGGATGATTGCGTCTGCTTTCTCGATATCAACTTTTCTCATTGCTGGGAAATTCTCTGTTCCACAAGTGTCAATGATATCGATTTGATAAGTCCTATCGTTGTGTAGCAAGTGTTTAGTAAAAAAGTCTTCTATGGTAGGTTCATATTCATCAGTGAAGGTATCATCACAAAAGCCTCTTATTAGAGATGTYTTGCCAACTCCTGCATCGCCAAACACWGCTATGGTCAAACGCTTGAGATAAATCGACTGACGACGCTTTTGAGCCGAGTGCTTGCGATATTTACTGCCTTTCTGCTTTTTCATCGTTTCTGTTAATGGCTATGTTTGCTCCAACTGCAAAACCGTTCTTATCCGGCAAATTAATCTAAAGAAAACAACAGCCAAGGAGTACTTTATATATGCAAGGCGCTAGCGTGGGGGGTAACAATGCAAGTTATGATAACAATTTGTTTCTAGAGTTTCATAGGTTAGTCGACCCCGCAGTGGCATCTTGTAAACAGTTGGATGCTTACACAGTCATTCATGCACATACGAAACAAGCTACTTGATAGCACACTCTAAAGTAACGGAGTTAATATCGAATATAAACAAACTATTGGGCTATCACTGGTATGACGTATTAGCTTAATAATTCAGAAACAAAGAATATGCTTGCGAAACACAATCCACRCAATACCAAACACAGACTGACGGAAGCTACTTGGAATTTATTCCTTTCCTCTCAGAAGCCTCTCGGGAATATTTCGGGACAAAGGCGTAGGCTCATCGTTAAATCCRATCGTTTCCTATTGGGCAAAGTTCACTTAAAAAACTAAAATTAGAAAGATACAGAGGTCATTGTTCTCTTCAATAACGTTGTTTTAGCACTGTGTTAATGTAAAAAGGGTTCAATAAAATGTAATTGTGGTCGATGATCTTTATCACTGATATTTTAAGCATGAAGACAGTATGTCATTGCATGGCCATATGCTCTGGAGAAATATCAGGCAAGTTCCACGATGTTACTGACGCGCACTGTGTCTAAACGTGACTTCTAACATTGGTAACGTCTTTCCAGACGTTAAATGTCGTCAAATTGTATTGTGTGACATCTATTTACGGAACGTTTTACGTTCATCGTCCTCCGTATTTCTCCACCAAGAATAGCGCCCACTAAAATATCTAACGACCCCAATACACGTGTAATGCTATAAGAAGCAATAAGCCAGGAAAAGACTGACGTTAAACTGAACGCTTTCAGGAATCATGTTATGTCGTTAGACAAGCACGACTTTTTATTTCCGTAAAATAAATTTAATTGTCTTTGTACAAATCACGTATTTTACTGAAATGAATTTACGGCTTAACACTGCCAATGATTATTTTACAAAAGTTAATCAGCGTCACAGCGAGATATCATGCACCTGTTAAAATGGTTTAATGGTTTAGCCTAATCTGTCGCTTTCTGTGAAAWAATCAAATCATCCCAGTTTATCATTCCTTGGAGTAAAAGGACTATTGATAAGATACGCTAAAAAAGATAATTTTCTCCTTAAAAATACAAAAAAATATAAGAATTGTTGCATTGACATTAATGCGCATCTCTTCACGTCGTCATGTCTCTATCATATTTCTGTCGTCTTTTTGAAGCTAGGGTCAGAGTGAGTGCGATGTAGTTCGAGTTCATTTTCGCGCCTTTCATCTTCAACTTGTTGTAATTGCTGTGGTGAACCGATCAGAAGCCTGGAAATATATAAAGAAACAAGTTTTGGTCACTTCYTAATATTGCCTTTACCTGCATTATTAGCAAAAATACTGTTTCACTGACGAACATTGGCAATAAATWGCCATCCGCCTGGATAACCATAATATTATTATACAGAGAATAGCTATATATATACTACAAKACAAAGTCAGCAATGTTAATTAGTCACTAGAAGTGTTCTCATGTAATAATCTAGCAAAATGCGCGATTTTCTGGTCTCGCTTTTATTTCTTTACTTCAAGAGCCTTGTCAAGCGTCATGTGAGTTAGTTCATTTAAGATTTTATAATAGATTTCATGTATTCTTTAAATTATCTAACAGTTCAAAATTTAGACAAGGTACGCTATACTAGCCGTTTTCGAGCCGTCCGCTTGTCCATTGTGGTTCCCACTAGACGACGAAAACTGCTCCTAATAACGTTAGTTTCGAACTCAGCCCCAGTACCTTTCTGACATGGACGATGCAGATTTGGAGACGGACTGGAGACAAGTCTTATGGTTAGTGTTAATTAACTGAATATCATCAGTGATTCATGAATGTTAGTRCGGCACCTCCAAGATATCCACGATAAGTCGTGCGTTATGCATCCATGCTGGTATATGACATATATCATTGTATTATGGATTATTTATGGCGTATACATGTACCGAGCTTTATGTATCAATACTAAGTATATCATACTTTATGTTCAGCACCCATGGTGACTATATATCGCAATATATATATATACTATATGGTCTGATAATAGTAGCATATTGGTCACTGTGCTGTAACCTACATTTTGCATCCATGGTAACTGTTGTATATCGTATGCTATGTATCTATTGGTAATTGTGTTACAATGTACATTTGTATCCTTGGTAACTGTGCTATAAGGTATGTTATGTATCCATTGGTGACTGTGATTCAATGTACATTTTGCATCCATGGTAACTGTGGTATATGGTATGTTATGTATCCATTGGTAACTGTGTTACAATGTACGTTTTGCATCCATTGTATATCATATGTTATGTATCCATTGGTAACTGTGCTCCAATGTACGTTTGCATCCATGGTAACTGTGGTATATCGTATGTTATGTCTCATTTGGTAAATGTAACTAAATCATATCGTTGTTTATGGTAAACTGAAGTACACATATTCTAACTATTTAGGTTCAGTCTCCAAAAAGCTTATTAAGAAATGTTTGGTATTGTATGTAATATATACAATATGAGCGGGCGATCTGTATGAGGATTTAAAACAGCGAGCTGAAAGCGAGCTGTTTTAAACCTCATACAGATCACCYGCGAATATTGTATATTACTTATGAAACGTTGAGGTAAACTAGCTCAGGTTTTAAAGAAACTTTTGAAAGAAAAATCAATCTGACCGAGAAAATCAGAGTTAAAGTTTATGCAAATGAACAAGAAATCTGTATGTAATATACAACTCTCTTCATGGGCTATGATTTCTATTGTGTTTTGCCTTATGAATATTAATGAGTTTTATAATTCTTAGTAGTAATTTGTTTAATTTTATTGTTTCAGTTCATAGTTGAGTTTATCAGTGAAACAGTTTGATTTGTTACAAGAATGGTTATTTGATTGGGTTCGGGTTTGAGTTAATTGAGTAACAGATGAAATGATTGATCAATGRAATGGAGGATTGGTAGATGAAATAATTGATAGGTTGATGAGATGATTGACTGATTTTTAAAAAATGCTCGACTGATTGATGATAAGTGAACATACCCGGCCGATGGTGTTGCRTACTCTGAAGGGAAGTCAGCTGTTGAGGCTCGCTGATCTTTTTTGTGCTTCTTTTTGTCTTTTTTGAGAAATTTACCAAACGATGACTAAAATAGAGTAACGTGAAGTGTAAGTATTTCTTATAGGTGGCAATGATTATGTATGATTAAAGGTAAGGAATGGTAATTTTTTCACTATGATTGTTAGCTTACTGCACGGTCCCTTGGCTTGTCTGATGCTCCATGGTCCGGAGGTTGTAATTGTTTGTCACCATAAAATCCAACCAAAGCTGCACTTGGTGTAATAATCGAATTTATTGATCCATACTGTTTGGCACTYGACTGTTTCTTTTTACTGACACTAGTACGATTGTCAGACGATGCTGAATCTGCAAACAAATAAGAAATCTCAGTTTAGAGGYAGAAGGGTGATTATAATGGTTTAGTCAAAAATACTACAATATATGCCTCAACCTTGGCCCTATGGTTCTTGGATCCATATGGGCCTTCAGAGTTATCTATCACTGCAAGCACATGGTTCAACTCCCATGCAAGATCATGGTTACCTTTAAGGGTGAAACAGGGAGGAAACCATTGAAAACCCTGATAGACTGGTCTTATAAAAGTGAATAAATCTATTGGTAAACAGCAACCATTTTGTCTACTTGACCCTACTGGAAAAGTGACTGGCAATTATTGCTTGTAAGTATGAAAGACAGCTTCTTATGGTGCACGCTCACTGGCTGYCTTGCTTTGATGCAAAGACASAGTACCTTTCAAGATGACACTTAATTACACTTAATACATACCACTTAAAATATGCTCTAGAAGTCCTGGAAAGACAATATTCACTTTAGTCAATGAATTAAATGTTACTTGGCCAAAGAAAAACTTAGAATATGAACAAGGGAAATCCATAATCATTGATTCAGTTACAATCTTTGAAAGTCCTCATTAGAGGAAATTGTAAGTTCTCTAGCAAAATATACTGTGTACTAAAAATACCCATACTTTGTGCTTCAATAGTYAGACTACTACTAGCCACTTGTCTTGGTTTGCGCCCACTGTTATCACGTGAACAAATGTTAGCATCTAACAAAAAAATGAACATTATGTATTAGTAATATTTAATTCAATTTTTCTGAGGTTATCTACTCTTACCAAACTCCTCTACTAAGACTTTAATGACTTTGTCATGTCCCTGCATACTAGCAAGGTGCAGTGGTGTGTATCCACCATGTGACTTAGTATTGACATCAATTCCTTTCTTGGCTAACATTGAAACAATGTCCTCTCTCCCATGCTTGGCTGCCCAATGTAAAGCTGTATAACCYGAAGTAAAGTCTCTCTTTTTTGCTAAACTTGGCTCTTGCTCAAGCAGGCACATTATGTTAGCTCTATTTCCACGGGCTGCAGTCAGCAACCATTCTTTTTCTAAAGGTTCCAACTTTGAGATAATAACAAATCATGAATTAACATAGCCAGTTAGAGCTACACATAAATATGTATGGGCTAGCTTAAAATCATTTTTTATTTGGCATCTAATGTTAGTACATCCATGTACTTACTTGAATTGCTGGCCCAGTAAACTCTTCACCTTTAAATAATGAACAAAACTTAGATATACAAAAACTAAGCATATCTTTGTTAGGTTTATTCTATGGGTTATGTGATTATATATCTAGACTATAGAAATATGCCAGCAAATCATTTTATACATAAAACATCAACAAATAATGTAAATTTCATGTATGAAACAACAATATCAATGTTGTAGCAATCAACATTGTCCTACATTTCTTGCGCCTAGATCGTCCCATAAAAGAAACAGCTTCCAAAATTAAAGAGTTTATAAAGTTAATGTTGACATTATTCAAACTTGGGCATTATAATAGAATAAAATTTCATGGTATAGCAGGTACTTAAATATATTAAATATTACATTTCACCTGTTTGCATGATCATGGCCCATACAGCATCAATATTAATCACTTGCGCTGTACAAAAAACTGACATTGAAAAATGTACCTTTTCACAACTTACCTTCAAATTCTGCATCATCCAGCTAAAAAAATGAAATTAATAATGATTTCATTAAAATAATTTTCCAATAACTTGTTGAGAAAAGTGATGATATCCTACATGTACCATGTCATCTCCTGATATCAGTGATATTTTGTCTTCTGTTTCACCTCCTCTAGCTCCAGAAGATGAGACTTTTCTACTTTGTTTTGGTGTATTATTTGAACTTCCTGTAGACTAAACCATACAGAAGACTAATGAGTAATTCATATAATGCCACTGACTTAGAATAATTACCATTCATGAAAGAGAGGATTATAAACACTTATTTACTAGTAGTCACTACAKTAAGGAATACCTTTCTAGAAGTCTTCATGGCATTCTAAACATAACTTCTAATACCCTCAACACCACATGAATTGTAGAATGTGTAAATGATTTATAAAATGGTTACTCATTACTAATAAATGTTGGTCATCATGAGTCAAATCAACTCACATCAATGCTATCAACAGAGGCCGCTTTTCTCATATGTTCTTTGACAAGACTCTTGACATCAGATCGATTTTCCTTGTCAAATTCAGAAGCATGGCCAACACTGCCAGGTGCATGTCCTTTAGTCATTTGAGATGACAACATATCTTCAAATAATTTTGCATTTCTCATGACAGGAGGGCCAGACACTGGTCGTGATTTGTGACTTGAAGGGTGTGATCTTGGTGGTTTACTGCTGGCAGGTTTACGTAGGACTGCAGGTGCTTCTCTAGGTTTTTTTAGAACAAAATACTTTTCTCCCTATAAAATTAAAAGTAAGATGACTTTGATTGCTGGCAATCATTTTACATTGTATGATTATTGATCCAAGTTGGGATCAGCTCTATAGTTAACACTGACTACATATGTGTCTTGCATAGGAGATAAGATTGTGAATGAAATAAAACACACTAGTAAAAAATATAAGCATTAATTCAATGCATACCTCTTACTGCATTAATAATATAGGACTTTTATATACACACACAACACATTAGACCAATTGTGACAACTGACCTATCTGCATAATGATATACACCTWCTTGCAGAAATGTTGTCATAGAAAATAGAACATTCGAATTTAGTAAAAAGGAATAAATTAAAACAAGACAAAAGAAAGTGTTCAGCCTCAGTGATCGTCTTTTGTCAAATACAAATGTCCGATTTTTTATGACAACGTTTTCGCAAGTAGCTGTATATATATGCACCATTCACCAATGATATCCATTTTGTATATTACCAAAATATAATGTCATGCAAGCATGCAGAAAGGAGCTTTGACGTCACTTTGCTATTGACAGTTAAGGACTATTATTATTTAAAAAGATTGTTATCATCTTTTCAACTCACATTGATTTCTTGTACAGTTGCCAGCTGATGCACAATATCTTTGAAATCTCCACGTACTTTGTCTAAGTAGAKAGCAGTTAGTCTAAGGATAAACATATCAAGAACGACAAACACAAACTTAGCATACTTTTGTTCGCTGGATCGTTGAGTTGTTGTCGGAAATGTGTCACTAAATCATGATTTTTTACTTTTCCGTCGTTTTTAAGCATGTATTCCCGCACAGTGGCGAAGGTTAAAGGTTCGTTGCCTGACATAGTAAAATTGTCCTTGTGGAAATAACCAAATRATGGAAATCAGCCACAAACTAAGATTGAAACTAATAACAAACTTCCMTAAACACGAAACCTTTCATTTTGCATGGAATTGTGGGTATGGATAGAACGAGGAATTTCAAGAATGGTGACATCACTTGCAAGATTTATAATTTCAAATTCTTTCAACTTTTTAAAGGAAGGATAACTTAGATAATTACTATTTGAAATAATTTATTTTCAAGTGGAGGTACAATCATCATAACTTCCTGTAAAAATGTGCATAGTTTAGAAATATGCATGGTCAGCAGACTGCACATAAATTGTTGTGCGCTGCGCATGTAAACAACTCGGTCTAAAATGGCGCAGTGACATCAGTTTTATTTGTCGTTCGCCTTCTTTCCCCAAAAAAGTCTTAAAATGGCTTCTTTAAAAGTCTATTTTATCGRCTATTAAACTTCAATAGTGTTTTGTTTTGCTGTCATGTTGGATTTAGAAGTCGTTCCTGAGCGTTCTTTAGGGAATGAGCAATGGGAATTTATACTAGGTGAGTGTCTTCGCCAAACGACAACATTGTACATGTCGTTTATTATTGCTAATATATAGCTTTTTTTGATTATGATACATTGTATATGTTTTAGGCATGCCAATAGCTCAGTGTGTTCAGATATTAAAGAAACAGTGCCGTACAATTCGCAGTGTACAGGTTATGTACAGCGAGGCAGTAAGTATATTATGTTATTGTATATACTTTACAAAATTTTGGGTTATTAGTATTCACCACAAAACCAGCATTCCAATTGGTTACTGAACTATGGTATATTCACTATAGTCCATGGTCGCATTGAATGAAGCAAAAATAATGTTTCTTCATGGTCTTTTTCCAAATTTACCCTATGAACTGTTGTATACTTAGACAACTCAGTCTCATGAACCTGTATGAGTTGAAAGTGTGTCCTCATGGACTATCATATCGTTATCCACTTTTCGTCAGATTGTTTGAGAAGTGTATGATATCAAGGTACACAGAATGTAATATCAAAGTTCACATGCATGGATGGTGTCATTTAATCTTATGCATGCTCTGATTGGTCAGAACCACTGTATGCATGCTCTGTTATCCTTTCAACTGTTTCCATGAATTTATACACACAAGAGAAAAAAATTATTTAGAGGAAACTGTGTTTTTTTCTGTGTTTTTGATAGAGAGAGCCAAATTGCCAAATTGCCGAGAACAACAATRCCACTTGATTTAGCCTCATGACATACTTTTTTGTTCAAATCAAATTCTGACCTCACCTGCATATCTATTAGAGTACAGACAATTGAAAAAATGAAATCTATATGTTAAAATAGCTAYGAATGTATAACATTACATTATATTCTAACAACTGTTTTATCTCGAGTTTAAGTTTTATGATGTGACAATGTAGAATTATTTTACTCCTTGTTCATAGAATCCTCTAGCTATGGATTTGGTATTAAATATGCCAAATGATGGGATACGTCTAGTGTTTGATTCTGTCAGTCAAAGGCTTAAGGTACAAGGTCTTTATTTAGTATTATCTTCCAATAMCTCAATTATTCTTATCCTCTTATTTTGACTTTTAGATAATAGAAGTCAACAATATGAGCAAAGTGAAGCTAAAATACTGGTAATAGTTTCAAGTTACATTGCCCATAGAAGGGCCTCTACTTATTCTAAGTGTTAATATCACCAAAAACATTTATCTTTCACTACTAGTGGAGTTCACTTCAATTCACCTCAAGTTCAACCAACTATAGAACAGATTGACATGTCATTTGGTGCTACACATCCAGGAGGTATGATTCACATGTATTTACTGACTAATATTTTTTTATTATTGCAAATCAAGTTTTATGATCATTTCAAATGATAATGAGTCATCCATGATGCCTATCTTCGAGTTACTGTTCATGCTTTAATAATATTAAAAGAATTAAAACCAACCAGCATTTGATATGGTTGTGGCTTAGATTTCCTATAACGGCGACTTCAAATGTTTGTTTGCATTTTGTCCCCTARAATAAATGAACCATTTCTAACAAAAAGCTGGCAACATGTTGATGACATTGTGTACTGTGTGTCTGTAATATGTGAGAGTGTGTAGTGCAAAATTATGTAGGGCAATTTGCACCAACCACCTGTAATTATTGATAAATAAGATTTGAATTAATTCTTGTCTTTGTTTCAGTTTATGATCCAAGTCTTCAGTTGTTCATTCTGAACTTCAGAGGACTGTCATTTTCTTTCCCTATAGACTCCAAGTTTGAGGTACATGTATTTGCTCAATTTTTGTGTGTAATATGTATTGACATTTCACTTTTGTTCATATTTTACTGTTATAGCCCTATTATACTCATGGACTGGGTTCACTGAAGTTCTCTTCTGGAGCATCACCAACTGTTTCTCGTATGTCAATCTATCATGGAAACAGTATTGCAGATGCAAGGTCAGGAATTAGGCATTTTTGTATTCACAATTAACAATAGTAATTGTACATTTACAACATTTGTTTTTACCAAAGAGCACCACCATTTCCACTACAGTGTTTCCATGGAAACTGCTTTGCTGAWAATGTAGAAGTTATTCGTGATAGTAATGATGTCAAAGGTTTGAAGCTATACTTAGTTGCTGAAGGTACTTAAAGATATTAATGTACATCTGATTTGTTGTTGCTATTATAATATTATAAAAATGTCAAAACTGATTTTTCTCTCTGCATATGATTAGGCACTGGCCCTGGAAAGATCTTGGAATTACGGAGAAGAACTTTTGAAAGGACTGTCATGTTTGGGGATTCTTGTCAGGTTATAGCAATATTTGTACATTTATTAAATAATAAGTAATGTAAAAAAAAACTATCAAAGTTAGTGGATCTTCTGGACTTCGATCAAGCAATACTSTCTGTCATGATCAGTTCAAAAAAACTGACCTACTCTAATATAGCTATTTTGACTAATATCTTTTTACAAAATTGAATTGTCTAGGATGTGATTAGTGCACTAGGGTCACCGTGTAAAGTTTACTATAAAGCAGAGGACAAGGTAAATCTTTTTGGATAATTAACACTTCTGATATAATTAGAACCTATATTTTTCCAAGTTAGCCTAAAAATTCTTCAGTTTGTACTGGTGGTGGTTGTATGTTACGTGGAATAAAGAACTGTAAGATTCACTAAAATAAAGGGTTGTATACTGTTGTTTAGAGATATTGTAAGTTGCATTTATTTATATAGCAATAACATATCATTATTCTTGACATTACAGATGAGAATTCATGCTCCATCTCCTCATAAACTAGCTCAATCCAAAATGTCTGACTACTTTTATAATTACTTTACATTGGGCCTGGTAAGAAAGCAAGCATGATTCTAAGCATATAGCTCTATTTTTTTATTTTGCTTTCATTGTCTGTATAATTATTAAGATTATTAATAAGTTTTATTTATAATTTATAGGATATTTTGTTTGATGCCTGCACACATCAAGTCAAGAAGTTTATTTTACACACAAATTTCCCAGGGCATTACAACTTCAACATGTAAGTACACTATTCCAATGTTAGGTCAGGGGCAGATCCAGGATTWTCCTCAGGGAGGGGTGCGGGMCTCTCAGGAGGGGGTGAACCCCACAAAAATCATTACCATGAAGATACAAATTAAGGAAAGTATTGAAAGAAACAGATCTCAGGAGAGGGCGCGCACCTCCTGCACCAACCAGCTGGATCTGCCTCTGTAGTTAACACAGTTACATTAGTACTACCCAGGTAATTATATGCTACTATTACAAGTAGAAGGAATTTGATGTTGTAGAAAATGTTTATTCTATATGATTCCATGCAGATATCAACGATGTCATTTTAAGATTCCAATAACAAGAGAAACAAAGTCAGGTAATATAAGAATGTTGAAAATTGACTTTAATCAATATTGCAGCTACTTGGGTACAGGTAACCCACCTGCACCTATAAATACTACCTCTTATATGTACACAGAAGAGATGGATATAGGTTGTACCATGTACAAGTAGACAGATGTTGACATTATTGCCCTGGGGGGACTCCCTAATATAAAAGGGCAGAGGTCCTCGTCAGAAACTCTGATAATGACCCCTTAAAGGGACCTCTATTGTGAGATGATGGGCATGGCAGTGCTAAAATTTCACCGCTAAAAGGGACCAATCAATAACAGGTCACTTTGTTTTGGTTTCCCAATWTTATTTGTGTTTTTGCAAAAGCATCTGAAAACGCYGTCAGCTCGTATTGAGATCAATCATCTAATTAGCAGTTATGGTTGTTCTCAATCTTATAATGACGGCTTAGGGTTGTCGTATACCAACCCTAAAAGGGACCACAAAACACAATTCTCGTCTTTATCACCTTGAGCGGGGCCAAAACACTGATTTCAAACCCTAAAAGGGACAACGAGGACCCCTGCCCTTTTATATGCCCCTCCCTCCGGCCCGAGATTGTTACATATGGGAAACCATGAACATGCACCTACCTGCACCCATAGACTGAAACAGTGTGCCATGTCATAACCTATGAATGCCTCTCATTTCATCCTAACTGAAGTAATAAGTACTTTTGTGATATTTCCTTTAGGCTTGCAAGATGACTCACCTCTAGTTGTTACACCAAGTAGTAAGGTATAGTTTAATACAACTTGAGCTGTTCAYTGAGTTTCAATTCTTATAACCCTGGTACAGTATTACTGTAACAAAATATCTGGCTAGAATTTAGATATTGAAAAATTTGGAAGAGGCGTGATTAGGGAGTACACCTAATAACTTCTATAAGTATGAAAAAAGATTAATAATTATTGATTTATTAACCAATTAAATAATCACTTGTTTGATAGTGGGATAGTGTGCAGGACTACCTTGGTAAACCTCTTGAGGCACCAGTAGTACTCAATAGGTAAATATTAATACATTCTCTGAAAACTGCATGATGCATTAGCTCTTGATAGCAGAGATGCTTTTTTACTACTATCAGGTTACATAATACATGTAAGTTATCATTAATCTTGAATCTGCATTTAAATGTCATGAATGGGTGAGGCAGCAAATGAATGTACCTCATCACTTGTTTATGGAAAATTATGGAGTATTGACATAACAAATAATTATTTTTTAGGGCCTCTTCAACCAATACGACTAACCCCTTTGGTTCCACATTCTGCTACAATTTGCAACAAATGATTTTTGAGGTACATATAGTATAGTTTTTGTTGTAGTTAAATATCACCAATATTGTGCATATATTTATTGATATCCAATCACTGTTTACATAATATTTTATTTCAATCTGCCCATTAAAATGAGTGGTTCTTGTTATTTGTTCAGGTAATGGCCAACAACCACATGGCATCACTGACCTTGTATCGACCCTCCAAGCAATGATTGTATGAATGAATATCAAATATATTCTAACGTGTTTTCATATTATTTATCCAAGTTTAAATARAAATATAGCATATATTACTTTTGTCTTAGTTTATTGCATATTTTATGTATATAATTACAAATGCCAAAACAATTGATTGGGGTTATTAAAAAACTTCTACTGGCAATTGGTACATGTTCTAGWCTGATTCCATCATCTCACTGAGTGATAATTATTAACCATATAAAATTRTAATATTCAGTTCCTATTTTGTAGATGGAGTATTTTGGATCCATTCCCAACACTTTGCATTTGAGATTAGAAATGTTGTGGATTTCCATTCATTTCTTGTAAAATTGTGTTTTCAACAAAAGCAAGTAAGCCTTTATCCAGTGAACCATTGTAACTGATGTAACACTGTTTTTTAGTTTTCTTTGCTAAAAGAAACAAATATCTGATATCAAAAACCATTCACTAGAAGCTGGAATCTGAGTGGCTGGRATCTGGTATTATGGCCACAGGATCTGGAATCTATCCTAATTCTGGATAAATTACCTTAAAAGGGATGATAATAGGAGCCTGTATAATAATCAAGCAATCATACTCAAACTAGACCAACAAACTTATAATAATTATTACTAACCAAGTCGCTGTGCCAGAGAACTACAAGTTATATTGATTGGATCTCCTAGAAGTGCTGTCACAGCGGGAGTGGCATCCTAGAAATAACACATTTGAAAGACATTGTAATCTAAAAAATAATAAAGTCTTTTACATGTAAAAAACTTGAGCTTCAATAAGCTTACTTAACTTACATATTTAGTGTTCACAGCCACACATAAGTTTGACATCGAGTTTTTGGCATCACCAATCCAAAAGAATAAAGTATCTTCTAATTTCAATATCTGGAAKTGTAAAACTTTGTCGATATACTCCTTATCAAAGTGATRAATATCGATTTTTGACGCCGTTTTGATACAGTTCACATTATCCGCCATTTTGTTTAGGCTCTCTCGGTACACTTAACCACAGGGAACCCACATACTCGAGAATATAATTAAATTATAATTAAATCTTTCATCAGCAGAGCTAGAGTACAAACACTAAAAGCGTGCAAGACTTTGCGCTATTTACTACAAAATAGTGRTATTAAASAATAGAAAATAATAGAATTAGCACAATTCAGCAGTATTTATGTTGCACAGTTTTTGTGTTTGTACTCTATAGTGAGTAGTATTAATTTTTACTAAAATTGGATCTGAAGCAAGACTGTATTGAATGCATCATTTGTATCAATTCAATTTAATTTGTGTACCACATGCACAGGGGCAGATCCAGCTGGTGCAGGGGGTTTGCACCCCCTCTTCATAYCTGTATCCTTCAATACTATCCTTATTTTGTATCATTATGGTAATAATTTTTGTAGGTTGCATCCCCTCCTGAGAGCCCCCCATCCTTCCCCATACCCCGAGGAAAATCCTGGATCCGCCCCTGATGCACAATTTACTAAATACAACTAAATAGAACTATTTAGTTTGTACAGTTGCACGGATTAAGTGCGATCACTCTACAATTTCATAAGAATAAACCATAAACAAAACCAAATTGACATAGTTCAAAGCTACTAGAGCAGTTGTAATGATCAAAGTGCGTTGTTGTACCAAAAAGACAAAGAAAATCAAAAAGACAAAGTTACTGGAGAATAAACAGGCACAAAAAAGGTTTTATTTCCAAATGTTACAACAATGACTTGTAAAGGTACAAATTAACCAGATTCTTGTATGTATCATGGGGGTCATTCGAACTGGCCCATTTTCTCTGAAAGAAAACATGAACACAACAACTTAGCTTGTAATTAATGTTTTAGTGCATGGAGCTTTGGTTTTATTGTATTTGGTTTTGATTAACATCATCACGTTTGTCTGCTCATATAATAATACAACAATGGTAAAATAATCATATTTTTTATAAATGGAAAATAAAATTAATCCATGAGGATTTTGAAGCAGATTGGAAGTAATGTAATTAAAATGCTGAACATACTTGGTTGTCCAACTGGTTTTCCACTTTCCCATTTCACTACTTTAACTGCCGACTCTTCCTGTCGTAAAGCTGATGCTTGGTAGTCGGGTTTAAGACATCTTCTTACTACTCTTGCACAAATTGCAGAATATTGCAGGTAGCTTAAACATAAGTTATAGTGAAATGAATTACAAACCTTTGCATCTGTGAACATTTAATAGCAAAACAATGACAGAGTCATTTCAAAACAAGTTGACTGGATTTCTATTCATGCACAAACAATGTCAAGAATATGGATGGAGATGTGGAAGGAGATGGAAAAATGCTATTTCTACCCACAAGCAATTTTTTGCAAGTTACGTCATCACCGCCATGTTGGATGAAGATCATCAAGCATTCCTCATTAGTTTCTCTTGTTCATTCATCCATCATGGCGGCGATAGCTTTGTTCTTTATTTCTCAGGGGATTCCTTGTCATGTGGTTGCACACCAAGAATAAGCTTACAGACCATACAGCACTTTTTCTGGAAATTTTAACATTGTCTTATTACAAATATTGAATTTTGATGTTGTTGAAAATTATTTTTTACAAGGAAAATTGCAGGTACTTAAATTGAACACTATGACCATGCCCAGATCCAACATGAAAAACTTTAGCTTACAAGCTAAAAAACAGAATGTTACCTCAAGACAATCGTGCAATATCACACAACTCTAACAACAGATTTACTTGCCTAATAACATCACTAACTCAATAACACACTGACAATTATCATATTGTAATGAAATTGAACTAAACTACTTACTTGAGTCCGGCTTGTCTCCAATACGACGACATGTTGGATTTCCAATTGTGTAAATGCGCATATTCAATGAACGATACCACTGTACAGATACAGACGGCTCCGTCCCGAATGTTTATCGACTGAGTAGCCCCAAGACGTCTATTGGATAAACCTCATGATAGATCTAACTGGAACTTTTCGATATTTTTCTTTGTCTTTAAATAATATAATATTTCTGTTTCGTCATTGTTGTTCCCTTTATTATTCTGAATATTAAAATGTAATTCATCGACTCTTAATCGGTTGATATTCGTATGGCACGAATACTTTACGACGAAGTTACGGACAGTTCTCCAAGTTTCAAGATGGCGATTCGCATACGAGGAATTTTATCTCCATTTGTAAACGAAAAGTACCTTTTAAGGATAGCTAAAAGGATCAAGGAGCTACCTTGGTTTACCAATGCATTTCAGGAAGGTATCCAAGCTATTATAGATTAGTTTTGAAATGTTAACTGGCAATCATTCATGTCTGGATAATCATACACAATTTGTGTTCTTAAATCCCGATTAACTTAAATTTAGATATCATTGACTTACAGGTTATATATTATAAGTAAGGAAGCAGTGTTAACTTTCATATGGGTTTTTAGTTTCAGATAGCACAGACAAAGCATATCAAGAAGATCAAAGTATAAATGAGGTGGACTGTTTAATCATTATTTTAGCTTTATGTTTTTGTCTGGAATTATATAAACCACTGAATAGTTTCCTTTCACAGTTTGTTTCAGTGTCAGTGCTGCCCTCAACAGCAGGCTGCTTATAACTCTAAATGATTAGAATTTACACTTGAGCAGTGATTTGATTGCAGTTTATATTTTTTGTAATGACTAAAAGGGAATTCASCGATCCCTTCTTCACATACATTAATCACCAAACAATGAGAAATTACTCCCAGTGGAATTGAAATTGTCCGAGCAACAAATACGAAATCGAATATTTTTACTAAATTCATTAGCTTTTCCTGATGAAAATGTAAAAAAACATATCACAAGGCAAGTTCCTACATATCGCAGCAATTGGTATCTTTTCCATGCTTTATACTAGTATCAAAGGAATATTTTTGCTTGTCCGACGTAGCTACAGTAAATAGGGAGGTAGGACAATGAATCGAGATCGAYCAATTGATAGCTTATCATTAAGGAGGGTATTTTTATCAATGCTAACATACGAAAAGGATGTGGTCAGTGACTACTGTACATCATGATACTTGGGAGTTAAGCTAAATAATTTTGTGCTGCATTAATGTTGCACTGCTAATGGAAAAACCTGTGACCACATCAAAATATTTAGTCAACATTTTTTTCCTTTTTTTCACTTTGTAGCTGAMCAAACTTTCAGATAAAAAATGGTTTGCAAAGGATAAATCTATTGTAGAAGTAGATTCTATTTATAAAACATTACCAAATGCCAAGACTGCAGTTAAACGGGCCACACCAGAACCAAGGTTCATCTGGAAAGAATTCAGAGAATTTCCCTCATCTCCACATGAAGCTAAAGTTGATGTTATGACTTACTTGGAGCAAAAAGATTGTTTTAATCGTCTTCAAAAACTGAAGGCACCAGAGTTTTGTGTTGGAAGTATTGTGGCTGTCACACGTGCAGACCCTTACATACCAAAAGGGAAAGTCAGGTAAATTGTTTATCATTGAGTTAAACATTATATTTTGTGATTAATAGTGAATAATCTTTTTTATAAGGTTTGTAGGTATATGTATTTCAAAGAACCACTGGCAAAATACACTTGGTGCAACATTCACTCTGCGAAATGTTATTGATGGGGAGCCAATGGAAGTCAACTTTCAGTTATATTCACCAAATATTCAAAAAGTTGAAGTGCTGAAGCATGAAAGACGTGATAAATCTGCATTGTGGTATCTTCGAGACTATCCTCCCAACAACAGTTATATAAATGAAGCTATGGAAGCACTTCCTTACTCAAATGAACCTTCATTATATGTTAAGTCTAAAGAAGAAAGGCTTAAAATTGAAAAGTGGTTTGACCAAGTTTGGAAAAGCAAGAGAAGGCAATAATTTAATTAGCCATGATGAGCATGAAATTTTGAATAAAACATGATAAATCTTTATTTGTCTTAAAACTGTTTTTTTCCCTATTTGTTTGTGCTTTTTTAATCAAGACTTTTTTCTGGAAATATTTTTATATCAGATAAATTTTGCTTTATCAATCAGTGGCAGAATTGTTTAGGTTAACCCTTGAAATATTTAGAATGCTTGCAATATAAATCTGAAATGGTTTCAAAGTACCTTAATTAAGCAAATTAGTTTATAATCCTCGTTTTTGCTAACATTATTTTAGGTAGTTTTCATAATTGGGTTAAGTTATGAAGCTAGATTAGCTAAGTTCTGCTATATTGGGAATTTCTCCTCAGAAGTCAAGCACAAAAAAAATCAAGAAGAAGCGCAGTGTATAAAGCTCAGTCAATCATGAAAAACAATTGTCTTTGCACAAATGACTTTGCTGGTCTGAGCTTTATGTGATCACAACTCTTGATTCCTTTGTATGTGACTACTGAGGCCAAATTCACAAGTAGACTCTTTGCTTGGCTCTCATCAGATGCAAATGTATTGCTAACAAAATTGATGAATGTCTCTGGGAAAAATGACCAAGTGTGTGTATAAAAAACAATGCAAAATGTACCAATCGATGGGTTTCCTGTGGAGATGTTGACCGTTTGGTCCAGTGCTACCGGTCACAAATAGTCGTACAAAAAACAAAATGGAAGATTTTTACAACCAAATTGATGTTACTGAAGGTATCCATGCAAAATCTCTATTTTCATAAACAAAATTCCTTTTCCCTGCCTAAACAGTGTTGATATTTAGACTTGAAAGCGTTCGAGCGGCGGCTAACAGAGTATCTAACATCACTTTCAACAACAACAACAAGATGGCGGGGTACGTAGGGCAACGTTGAAATGTTTTGACACTCAACARTTGGAAACATAATCTTATTTGAAGTTTATGCTCACATGGATTTTTCTTGCTCAGTAATTTTAGCTGTTTCCTCTGCTGTAGTATTCTTGGGAGCGTGGGGTTTGATAATTGATGATGTACAAGTAAGTACACTTAACCGCCATTTTTGTTTTATTAATGTCAGGTACYTTGTATCTATAAGTATTATTATATCGAGTTTGTATTTCTTTGTTAGTCACAAAGTTTATAAGAAATACAATAAAGGATGCATAATTGAATACATATATATGAAATAGCATGCAATTAGAAAAAAATGGTATCTCTATGATAAACTTTTTCATTCATGCTACTTTCTGTATTTCTTCCAGCATGGGTCTTTTCTGATGTCTCTGTGGTATCATAAATTATTTACTTTGAGCTGTTTTAACCTGCTAGTTCTTATTCTGTTTGGAATTCACAGACGTGTAGTTGCACCAAATATGTATCCTTAGACAGGTGGATTGCAGCCAGGATAATTAAGTCCTGCCAATATGCTTGATATATTTGCTATCTTTGATCATTCATAAAGCAAAAGAAACAATCACAGAGGTTCTTGTATTCCTAGAGGTTCTGTTCAGTCTATCAAGTACTGTTATAAGTGCTTTTACAGTTTTGTTCCATCTGTTTTTAAATGGATGATAAACTACATTTTGTACCATGTGGACAAATATTCATATCATTTTGAGCAAATATCTACCAGCCACATGGTGCAAAAGACTTGGGATGAAACAATATGAAGGTAGTTGATAATTCTGAAACTGTTGTGCTGCTATTATATTATACCACAGAACTGACAAAAAAAAGACACAACTTACTCACTCAGCTGGAAAGAGCATTATAAATATCCATGTTTGACAACTAAATGTCATTCAAAAAAATAATGGTGTCAAAATGATGAAGGTTCCTTAATAATCATAGCATTTTATCAAGAACAAGATTAGTTTTACAAGATTATAATATGTCATGTGATGAGGTAAGTTTTCCCATTAGATTACATAGTAACAATACTTACTGATAAAAATCTATAAGGCTGTTGTGATGTAGAATTGATWTAGGTGGCACAAAATGATAAAGTGACAAAGAAAGAAATGGTTATACTTTTTGTAGACTCATGCAAAATATATTCTAACACAGACTTGTTTTATAGAAGGGCCGATTGATACTCAAAGCAAGACCATCTTCAGGTTTAGATGATTGATAGTCAATTTCTTTATAATCAAGGAATGCATCAAAAATGATTTATTATTATGATCAATGTTACATTATTTTTTCATGTATAGTAAATGATTTAGGATTATTCTTACTGCTATAATCTACAACACAAATATTTGTTTGTAAAATCAGTAATCAGTATGACTTTGATGCTGCAACATCAAGTTCAAATGCATGATTTTTTGATAAAGAATGATCTCTTATAACATAGAATAAATGAATACTTTTCAGCACAGCTGTTGATACAACTTTTCTATTGCACTTCTAATGCAGGTATATGTAAATATATTGAAAAAAATATGTATATAATTAAAAAAATGAATTACCAGTTCCAAGTATTATTTTGACAGTTGTGCTTCCAGTTTTTACAGAAACTCCTTGAGTGTGGTACTGTACTTCCCGGGGGGGGACTCCCTAATATCAAAGGGCGGGGGTCCTCGGCGGAGATTGTGAAAATGACCCCTAAAAGGGACCTCTATTGTGAGATGATGGGCGTGGCAGTGCTGAAATTTCAACCCTAAAAGGGACCAATCAATATCAGGTCATTTTGTTTTGGTTTACCGATTTTATTTGTGTTTTTACACAATCATCGAACACTGT